TTCGGGACCCTCTTTAATGACCGGGCCCCGGCCCGGAGCCCCGATTTCGGATGCCGGGCTGTCTGGGCTTAAAGGCGGGCCTTAGCCTGATGGTTCTGAGCCTCTTGCTGGCTTGAGCCACTAGGGTGTTGGTTAAGTAGGGTTCCGGGCTTAGTCACAAAGCAAGAAAGACTCAGAGCTCACTTTTGCACTCAAAAATGTCTGCTGTTGTCTGCTGTTGTCTGAGGCCCTTTAGGCCTGAGCTGCTCCTGAGAGATGCAGCTCAGTCTTCCATCGCAACACCTCAGGGATTTCGGTTTAGGGTTTAGGGTTTAATAGGGTTTAGGGTTTAGGGTTTAGGGTTTAGGGTTTAGGGCTTAGGGCTTAGGGTTTGTCCTGGCCTCAAGTTCCGTGTTCCACTCAGGCAGAGCAGAAGGTGCCTGAGGCATCGTGCTGATGGACTGGAAGCTCACTGCCAGGTCTTGAGCCTTAGGTTCAGGGTTTAGGGTTTAATTAGGGTTTAGGGTTTAGGGTTTAGGGTTTAGGGTTTAGGGTTTAGGGTTTAACTAGGGTTTAATTAGGGTTTAGGGGTTAGGGGTTAGGGGTTAGGGTTTAGGGTTTAGGGTTTAGGGTTTAGGGTCCCTAAACCCTAAACCCTAATTAAACCCTAAACCCTAAACCCCTAAACCCGAAACCCGAAACCCGAAACCCTAAACCCTAAAGTGCTTGCCTGAGCAACCTTCTGCTGAAGGGCCCTGAGGCGGCTGTTTACTGAGTCGTAAAGGTGACCGGCTGAGGACCAGTCAGCTAAGCGACTCGCCCTCGACTCAACAGATGCCTTAGGTGAGGCTAATCTGAACAACTGTACTTACTTGAGTAACTAATTAATGACGGACTGATGCTAATTATCAGTCAGGCTGCTGAGTCAAAGAAAAGCTTAGCAACCTCTGGCCTGAGCAGATTGCTGAGGGTCGCTTCGTGCTCAGGCAAAGGCTGAGTCTTTCCTTCGAGGACCTGAGGTCAAGAAACTAAAACTAAATGACGACATCCTAATCAGCTAAATATAGTATAATTAATATGATATAGTATAATATATTAATTAAAATTTCTTAATTACCCCCTATATACAACCCTAAACCCTAGACCCTAAACCCTACCCTCAGTGCTGTTGTGGCACTCTGACCAGCCTCTGATAGAAGATCTCAGACTTCACACTGAGGATGGCTGTGCTGAGGAGCACATCCCACTCAGCCATAAAAGCCTAAGCTGAACAGCAAGGCCTAATTAAGACCTCAGAAGGTTAGTTTAGTGGGACCTCTAATTACTAATTACAAAACAGAACTTAGTGCAGTCTGCTTGCCTGACGTTCCCAGCTTGTCTGCTTGCCTAAGGAGTTGCGAACCCTCAGGAACATGTCGAAGAGGATCTGAGAACCACCTGCCTCAGAATGGCTTGAGGTGCCCTAATTAACCCTAAACCCTAATTAAACCCTAAACCCTAAACCCTACACCCTAAACCCTAAACCCTAGACCCTAATTAAAAACCCTAAACCCTAAACCCTAAACCCTAAACCCTAAACCCTCAACCCTAATTAAACCCTAAACCCTAATTAAACCCTAAACCCTAATTAAACCCTAAACCCTAAACCCAAACCCTAAACCCTTCCTGAAGCCCAGCCTCAGGGTCAAACTCGTAGAAGACCTGGGTGAGGTGCCTCAGGGCATCCCAGGAATCTCCTGAGGTATAATCTTGGCCTCAGATTGGCAAGAATAGGACTTCATTAATTACTCAGTAATTAATTAGGGGTTATGGGTTTAGGAGTTGTAGTAACTAAGGCGTTTCAGGGCTGAGGGGCTGTAGGGGTTTAAGGGCTTAGGGATTTCTGGGTTTCTGGGTTTGCCTGAGGTGCTGCCTGAGTCTCGGCGCTCAATGTGGGTGACCCTGTCTGAGATACCACTGAGCCATCCCTCCTCCAGGTTTAGGGTGTAGGGTTTCATTAGGGCTTAGGGTTAATTAAGGTTTCGGGTTAGGGTCTCGGGTTTAGGGTTTAGGGTCTAAGGGTTTAGGGATCAGGGTTGAACTGAGACACGTGTCCTGAGCTTGCAGGTACCAGAGGACATCACTCAGGAACTTGTACATCTTGAAGGCGACCCCGAAGACGAAGCTCAGGACGAAGATGTGAGCCTGAGCGCGGAAAACCCTTAACCCTAAACCCTAATTAAACCCTAAACCCTAAACCCTAATTAAACCCTAAACCTTAAACCCTAATTAAACCCTAAACCCTAATTAAACCCTAAACCCTAAACCCTAAACCACCCTAAGCCCTAATTAAGCCCTAAGTAGTTTCAGAAACACCAAAAGCAGCTGAGGAACCCAGACTGAGGCGTCCAAACCCCAGTCCTTGAGCTGAGTCACCAGAACCGAGAGCTCTGAGGTGACTGGACCTGAGATGCGAGGACATGCAGAACTCAAGGAATACTGAACCCCACTTAGTTCATCGCTTGGGAACCCTTGGCTTCACTGAGGCACTCCTTTTCACACATCTCAGCAGGAGTCTTCTCAGGCTCTCAGGCCTTCTTCAAAAATCGGTCTCTCTCAGGAGACAGTGCAAAAAAACAGTCTCTCTCAGGAGACAGATCTGATCGCTGACTCAGGTAGCGATCACTGGTGCCTCAGCCAGTTCTCGGCGGTCTCAGCTTGCTGGCCTGACGATGATGCTGAGGATGTTGCTGAGGCTTGGCCCTGGCCCATCTTCGCCAGAAGCTTCTTCAGCTGAGCTTGCTCCTCAGGGCTCAGGCCGCTCAGGTCGCTCTCAGAATTGGGCTGAGGAACAGGCTCAGCACTTGCCTGAGCCCGCTGGGCCTGCTGAGCCTCCCTCTCAGCTCGCCTCGAGTCCAGCCTCTCCTCAACATGGTCGGCAAGCTCAAGATGGCCCTGAAGGCAGTCTTCCTCAAAGCTTCGCACAGCCTCAATGAGGTCCTCATAGTCTTTGACCTGAGAATGGAGGTCCTCAAGCAGGCCTGAGGCATCCTTCTGAGCTGCCCTGACATCGTAGATGCAGTCTCTCAGGGCATTCTCTGAGTGGCCGGAACCTCTCAGCTTGAAGGCCAGGGCTGAGAGGTGGTCCTCAGTCTTCCTCAGCCACCTCTGAACCGACTCTGCACTCCATGGCTCATCTTCCTCAGGAGGATTGGGAGGGCTTGCCTTAGGCACAGCCTCAGACCCAGGCTGACCACGAAAGCTCAGGTCCACTCCTGAGTTCGGCGTCATCTTGTTCTGAGGAATGACTCGGTACCTCAGGGCTAAGTGTCTGCTCCAGGGCAGGTCCTCAATCATGGGAAGGATCTCAGTGTGGAACCTGAGGATGACTGAGGCCGGCCAGGAGCCGTGGCACTCAACACACCTGGTCTGATGCAGGATTCGGCTGAGGAAGATCTTAGTGTGCACCTTACGATCCTCACACTGAGGACAAAGGAAGAAGGGCTCAGGCTCGATGGTGCGGTCGTACTGAAGCCTTTGCTTAGGACCCTCAACACCAACTCTGAAGAGCTGGTGGGGCTCAGGTGGTGGTGGAGGCACCAGGCTCTGAGGGATAAGCACCGGCTGAGCAGAGCTCTGAGGAGGAGCCTGAGAAGAAGCCTTCAATGGCGGGAAGGACATGGCTCGCTAAGTGATTACTTAGGCGAGCTGCTGGTGAGGATGCTGAGGACCAAAAGCGCTCTGAAGAAAAAACAAGTTCCTCATGCTCAAGCTCTGTCTCAGTCCTAGATGCAAGCACTCACTCCTGTCTCAGTGCCTAAATGCAAGCCCTCACTGAAGCTAGTCAGACTAAGTGCAGCCCAGCAGCTGGCCAAGCTGAGTCCACTGAGGAGGGCAAAGCTCAGGAAGACGGCCATCTTCATCTGAGTCTTCCTTAGATGCAAAGGGGTTTCTTTAGGGTTTAGGGTTTGGGTTTAGGTCATTGGGCTTCAACCCTAAACCCTTAAATTAGCCCTGAATAAACCCACTTCACCCCTGACTAATTGAACCCTAATTAAACAAATAATTCAACCCTATAACCCAAGCCCTCAGCCCGACCCTCAGCATCCCCCTGAGTATCTTTTCGCAGAGTGACTGAGCCTGAGTGGGGACTCAGGCCAAGTCTTAAATTTAAAAAAATGGTGGCCCCCTCACTCGCTTATCTTCCTCAGGCCCCTTCCTCTTCCTCAGGCTCCTCCTGAAGGACCCCCTTCCCCCCCCCCTTAGTGCAGCCAAAGGGTCATGGCTGAGACGAACTCAGGCAGGAGATCAGGCGGAAGTGCGAATGCTGAAAGCAAAAGGCTCTGAGGATGGCAGGCGAAGGGGATTCTGAGCTTAATTAAGGCTTCTCAGGGCTCCTACTCCTTCTTAGTACTAACTAGTACTACTAAGTACGACAAAGTACTACGAAGTACTACGAAGTACTACGAAGTAATTACTAAGTACTACTTAGTACTACTTAGTACTACTTAGTACTACTTAGTACTACTAAGTACTACTACTGATTACATCTTCTCTAATCCCTTTTAAATCTATCTAAACTCCTCCCTATTAAAATCATATAAACCCCCGGAGCCCTTTAATCAGGACCCAACCCACGCCTCGACTGTTCAGGGGGGGGGGGGGGGCCCCCCACACTAAAGAGGGTGCAACATTAGGGTTTAATTAGGGTTTAGGGGTGTTTAGGTTTTAGGGTATACTTGGAGGTTTGTGGGTACTTATGTAGGAAGAGTGGGTTTCGGCTGAATGGGGGGTTGAATTCTACTGGGTGTTTCAAGGGTGGAACCGCCAAACACAAAGCCCTTGGTTTATGACTTTTTGGGGGGGCTTAGGTAGGTGACGGTGATGGCGAAAGTTGGGTTGATCAGCCCCTTGGGACATTGTCCTGAACCACATGCCCCCCAGACCCCCACCCCCCCTCAACCCTCGACCCTCAACCCCTAAACCCTAAACCCTCAACGAAGTAGCCTTCGGAGCCACAGTGGGCCCTCTCCCGCGTGCAGGACGATGCGCTGCACAAAGCCGGGTGCTCAAACGCTGCGCCCCGTGCGCTTTGCGTTTTAGGGGCTTGGGGGTGCAGGGGTGTAGGGTTTGGGTTTGGGGTTTAGGGTTTGGGGCTTATTGTTTAGGGCTCAGGGTGCCTAGGATGCCAACTCATCTACTGCCAGTTTCAAGGTGGTGTGGGGAGCTTCGATGCGCTTTCTCGGGCCTGGCTTCGGGCTTGCGGATGAGTTCTGAGAAACTGCTTTGCCCCACTGCCAACCTCATCCTGCCTCTTGTAGCGTCTAGGGTTTAGGGGTTTAGGGGCTCTCACATCCACAGACCTTGAGGAGGATGCAGACGCCCTGGCCATACGCGACGGCGTGTCGCCGCGGAGAAAGACGGACAAGGCCGCGTGGGGAGTATAGCGGGCATGGCGCGGGGTCTAGTATAGAGGTCGGAATCATGACTGCAAGTATTCCCTTATGGTCCCTACATGAGTATACTCTTGTACCCCCCCCCCCCCCCCCAAAAAAAAAAACCAAGGCCCTATTCCAATTATTAAGGCCCCCATGTTCGGGTTTAGGGCGCAGGGTGGAACATGTGGAGAACTCAGAACCTGTCTTTGCTTGCTATTCTGAAGCCTCTGTAGCCTCTTTAGCCTTTGCAAGATTCTGAGGGAACTTGCAGAAACTTTGCGGATTCAGGGTTTTTTACGGGTTTAGGGTTGTAGAGCTGCAGGCTTTAGGGTTTTAGGGTTTCCCAAACTCGAAAGTACTACACTGTGAGCCCTACAGAGCAAAGGGAAAACCCCAAGCTCTTAGTAGGGTTTAGAGGGTCTAGGGTTCATAAAATGTGTGGTTTAGGGTTTAGAGGGTTTAGGGTCTATAGGGTGCAGGGTTTATACTGCAGGGTTTTGGCTTTCAGGGGTTTTTAGGAGTTTCAGGGGTTATTAGGTTTTAGGGTTTAGGGTTTAGCATCTCCATTGTGTTGTGGAGGTTTCTCAAGACCCGAAATCAACGAATCCCTAATTCCCCAACTCCGACTGCTCATAGAGTTTAGGGCCCCAGCATCCTTGGCAGGTTGCGGCTCCTGTGACGTATTGCAACGGGAGACTCGTTGCAGTCTTGCGCCCCCTTCAGAGTTGCCCCGAAGGGTTTGTGGTTTAGGGTTTCGGGCTCAGGACTCAGGCCGCCGGGTATGTCTTCAGCATTTCATGCGTTATGTGTTTTTTTTTTTTTTTGGGGGGGGGGGGGTTGTGTTTTTGCTAGGGCTTTTGGGTTTGAAGTTCCCTGGGGGGTTTCGGGCTTGTAGGGGCCAAAACCCTGAAAGACCTCGAAAGACTCAATCCCAACTCCAAAACCCCGACCCTTTGTCGCTGAACGATCGTAGGCACGGGAGGTTCTGTCTAGAACCTAGCTGGCCCACCCCAGTTCAGGTTCCTAGGACGGACCCACAGTAGCATTGGGCACCAGTGGGGGCTCTACTTTTTGGATCCTCCCAGATTTCTGTGACACAGTACCCTCAAGCCTCAACAGCTTTGTCCACCTGCAACCCTTGCTACTGTAACCCCGGACCCGAAACTAAACCCTAAACCCCGCCCCAAGCCCCCAAGCCCTAAACCCTAAACCCTAAGCCCTCCAGCCGCCGGTTGGGGGCTGGGGTTCTAGGGTTTCGAACAGAGAGGATGCAGTAGACGTCACATTTCGGAATGGAAGCTCAAGAACATTCAGGGTTTTGGGGCTTTTCTTGTGCTTCAAGCGCTAAACCTAAACCCTAAGCCTTAAAGCCCTCTAGAGAGGGATGTAAGACACCTACTTCCCACATTCCCGATCCAGAACTACTACGAAGTGCGAAGAAGGTTTGGAGTTCGAGATCCCAGTCCAAAGTTCCGAACGCAGGGTTTAGGGCTTGGGCTTCGGGTTCAGAGTTCTGGGTTTAGGGTTTGGGGCTACCCTGCGGTAAGCCCTGGATCATTGCAATCGTGGCGTCAGGTTGACGGCCCGAAAAGGAATCTGACAGGAACCCTGAGCCTTCTCGCTAGTCTGGCCCCTGCTGTAGTTGCGGTTGGTCTACGGTTTAGGATGAAGGGTTTGGGGGTTTAGGGTCAGAAGTAGCAAAACTGCGAAACCCTCGATCACTCACACTGGTGCCCGAAGACGAGGAGCAAACCCCGCGCTAGCTCCCACACTTTCGCCGGGAGCCACAGCAAGCCCCGAGACCCTCCAGAGACTGCGTTTAGGGTTTAGGGGGTTTAGGGTTTAGAGGTTTAGGGAGTTTCATGGGTACTTTTGAGTAGGGTTTTAAGTAGGCAAACTATGGTTATAACCTTCTTTTGGCAAGAAGTGCCCAGCCTTACAAGTACGCTTGAAACCCCAAGTACAGGATTCGAGATTGTAGGGTTTGGGGTTAAGAGACTTTCGGATCTTCAGTGCTGTTGTTGCGTAGGGTCTGGGTGATGATTTCGTGGCAATGTTCATCAGCAGACAGAAGCCCCCGAGTGCTTTCCAGCAGCCTCAATCCCTAAACCCTAAACCCTTTCCTGCTTGGAGATTCATGGGTACTTAGAAGTAGAGTTGTGACTTTATTTGGGGGCACTTACAACCCTGCTTGTAAGTACCCATGAGCCTCCAAGTCATGTGAGACCTCTATAGGGATATCTCAACCTGCAAGGCGAACTTTAGGGTAAGGTTGTAAGTAGGGTAACTAATAACTAGCCCTTCCTACTTACTAAAGAACGCAGCGCAAGTGACATGAAGAAGCGTAGCAGAATTGAACGCCCGGAGCCTTACAAGCCCGAAGCCGAGGAGAATGGGTACGTACAAGTGGGGTTGTAAGGGTAACCCTTCTTTGGGGTACTTAGAACCCTACTTCTAAGTACCCTGTATCCACGGCTGAATCCCCCCGCCCCGCCGCCCCCTTTCCCCCAGGTTGGGGAGCGGCATCCGACGAACCACAGTGGTGGCCTGGTAGCCCTGAAGCGGGTGTAGGGTTTAGGGTTCAGGGTTTAGGGTGTAGGGTATAGGGTTAGGGTTTAGGGTTAGGGTTTAGGATTTAGTAGCAGCGCCGGAGTTGTAGGCTTCACCCCCCCCCCCCCGAGGGGTCTTTGTTGGGAGTGAGACGTACTAGAGCTTGTGGCTTTTTCATTTTTAGACAAGGCCAATTTTGGGGGTCATTGGAATGCCTTAGGGTCCCAACATGATGGTCCCGAATTCCTGGGAAGCCCTGAACCTCGAGCAACTTTCTGCATCTCACAAGGGGTTTAAGGCTTATGGATGAGGCTTCGGAGTTTGGGGCTGCAGCCCCCTCTAAAGCCCTACAAGAGCCGCAGGATGTGTTTGATACACGCTAAACCCTAAACCCCTATAAACCCAAACCCCTGACCCTCAAATCCTAAACCCCAAACCCTAAACCCTCTCAAAAAAAGAACAAACAAACCCTCATCCTCGAAGCCCGGGGCGCAGACCCGAGGCGGATCCGTTCTGAAGCCAACGGGGTCGAGTCCTCGGTGAATAGCCCATGTCGACATTCAAGACAGTTTGGAGGTTCAAGGGTACTCATAGGTAGGGTTAGAAGTAGGGTTTCTATGGTTAGAACCTTAATTAGGGGTACTCAAAACCTTACTTACAAGTACCCATGAACCCCCCAAGTAGGGTTCAGGGTGCTGGGAAGCCCTAAGCCCGAAACCCCTTGAGGGTTTAGGGCTTTGGGGCATGTCATGGCCCGCGTGGATTCACAGCACCTCGGAGATTTTTTGCCGTGGGGCTAACCCTTAGACGACCTGGGCTGCTGTTTTCTAGGCAATTTCACCTAAAACCTGGATTAATTTAGGGTTTAGGGTTTAGGGTTTAGGGTTTATAAGGTTTAGGGTTTATAAGGTTTAGGGTTTAGGGTTTAGGGTCTACTGGTTTCGTGTTTGGGGTGCAGTGCTTTTAGGCTCTTCTGGCATTCGAAAGCATGAGTGCCCAGGTCCCCGCAGCCTCCCACCGCAGCCCAAACTCCGGCAGAGGGGCTGGAGCCTCAGTGAGAAGTGACAAAGGGAGAGCATTGCGCCTCGAAGACCCTTAGGGTTTAGGGTTTGGGGTTTGGGGTTTGGGGTTCAGGCACGGGTTCTCTAAGAGATCGTCCCAATTGGGGGGTTCCTGTCAGATTGGGGCCCCTGACATTTTTGGAGGTTGAGGGCAAGCTTGTTGAAGAGAAACTAGGTCCCCCAGTGGTGCCCTTGTTCCCTTTTTGTTTTGGGGGCCCCTCATTAAACTGAATCGTAAGAAAAAGCGTGCCCGTATTATTCAGGAGTTACTGCGGTGGAGGACTAAGGAAAGATGCCTCCCCCAAAAGCTTGTTTTGTGGGTTGGAGGGTTTGGTGTATAAGGTTTATAGGACCTTGTGACTTGTGTGGTTTACTGTTTATTACACCCTCTTGCACATACTAGAATTAGAACCCGAATCGAACCATGTACCGAGACACGAGGGGGGGAGGTGGGGGGGCAAACCCTAGTGCCCAGGCACACCCAGGTACACCCTAACCCTAAAGACTCTATAAGCTCTATAGATCGCACCAGTCCTAGAAGCCCTTTTAAACCTCTAAGCCCTGTAACTCTATTTGCCCCGTAAACCCTCTACACACAGGCAACAGATCCTATATTCCCAAAACCTTATAAACCCGAGACCCTATGAACCCGAACTCGGAGGAGGGTCCAAACCTCCAAAGCCCTATACAACATGCCAGAGATATTATCCCTATAAACAAATTGCCTCCCCCCCCCCCCCCCCCCCCCCCCCCCCCCCCAACCCTACAAACAAAAAAACACCAAAAAAAAAAAACAACCCCCTAAACCCTTTTATGCACCAAACAGGACAGAATCCCCTTGAAAGGGACCCCGAAAGGGTACCCCCATTTTCTGGAAACCCCATTTCGCCGCAGGGCCATGCATCAGCAGTCCCCCAGGAGACCTCCTCACGTCTCTTCGGTGCGCCACCAGCTCTGGGAGGGTTTAGTCCTTTAGGATTTAGGGTGTTATAGGGCATAGGGCTGAAGGCTGAAGGGCTTCTCAGGCTCGAGGGATCTAGGGTTTGGGGTTTGGGGTTCTGTCTTTAAGTTTTCGTCGTGATTGGTGCCTTTTGGTGTGTTGGTGTGGTGTCAGCATGGTGTCTTGATTTTTCGTTGTGTCTGGGGTTGAATGCTTCAGTGTTTAGGGTTCAGGAATCTAGTGTTGGGTCTATGAGGCTTGGCTGTGTGGACGCTCTCTCTCTGTCTCTCTCTCTCTCTCTCTCTGTGTCTCTCTCTCTCTCTCTCTCCCTATAGTCAGTCCCTGGCCTGAAGCCTAAGCAGTTCGTACCGCAGGGGCCCTGCTTGTTCACGGGCACCGCCGGCAACGGCACGGTTCTGCGGGAGGTGGCGGGGATGCAGCTTTTCGGGATGCTGGTTGCACCCAAGGATAACTTTTTGCACGACTTTAACCTGCAGAGGAAGTGTTTGGGTGCGCTATCAGGCCTTAAACCCCAAACACACACCTTTCCCCAATTCGCCACAAGGAGCGGTAGGTCGCTGTTCTGGAAATCCCGAGCAGATGCACGCGGGTAGTTCTCTACATTGGGGTCCCTTGGTTTTGGGCATCCCTTTTTAAAGAGTGCCGCCTTTGAATGGGTACCCGAAAGGGAAGCCTAGAACACTACCCACGTGCAGCACCCACTCCTCAAATCCTCAGCCCTTCGTCGGGGTCTGCAAAGTTTCAACACCCTAAACACCCTAAACACCCTAAACATCCTAAACACCCTAAACACCCTAAACACCCCAACCACCCTAAACACCCTAGCCCTAATCCCTGAACAGTCCCAGAATCTGATGGTTCGGGACCTCTATGAAGCACAGGCAGATCCCCAAGAGCCTAGTCCCCAGAATCCGGAATCCCCTAAACCCTAAACCCTAAACCCCAAACCCTAAATGCTGACGATTGAGAGGTGCAGTATGGCCGAGAAGATCCGAGCCTGCTGTCCTTTGTCCGGGACCCCAAGGTTTAGGGTTCAGGATTTAGGATTCAGGGCTTTAGGGTTTAGGGTTTTAGGGTTCGGGCGCAGGGCTCGTGGAAAATGCCGGAGGAATCATGAGTGTCGGGTAGGAAGGTGGGCGCGAGCATCCCTTTTTGGTATTGAACTAACATCCATTCACGAACTGCAGGGTCTACGGCTAGCTGCCCCGCCTTGCACTAAACCCAAACCCGAAAGATGCGGGGCTAGGGTTGAGGGTTTACAGTGTTGTTTGGGGATGGGGTCGTGCGTGTTCCTGGCAAGTTCAGGCACAGAGCGCCTCATCTACAGCACAATCGTACGACTGTTCTTCTGGCCCGCTGTGCTATATGAGTACGTACTGGGAACGCCGCGATATATGCATCATGACGTGGTACGCTACTCTGCTAGAACATGAAAACTGACGGGGCTTAAACCCAGAGCTGGCGTGCTCAAACATCATGCACGCATGCGTGCTCATAAGAAAACGAATGGCATCTGAAGCCCTAAGCCCAAACCCTGAACCCTAAACCCTGAACCCCTAAACCCGAAACCCTAAGCCCTAAGCCCGAAAAGCCCTAAGCCCTAAGCCCTAAACCCAGTCCAGGCGGAGAAGACCCACATGTTCAATGCCAGAAGTCAGAGTGCCGCTCCCAGCCGGCCGATGCCTTTTGCGGGGTGTCTGTTGACTTGGTAGCCCAGTGGTACCCTTTTCCCTCTTTTGTTGGTTCAAGGTTCCCCTTAGAAAGTAACCAACCCGCTACCAAGTTGTAGATGAGTCCGCTGTGAGCTCTGAACGTATAAACTACATTGTTAAATTGTTCATAGTATAATAATCTGACAATACACTTGTTGATATCTCATCCTCATTCATAGTGTAAATATGGTACTAAAAGTACTGACAATAAGTATGTAACACATTTTAGCAGCACAGGGGACGGGCAGGGAGCAGCTCGCAAGAAACATGAATGCCCAGGTTGCACTTACCCCCGAGAGCCCTTAAGGACCCAGTATGTAGGTGCCGGGTAGGATAGGGTGAACTACGGGACAGCTGCTGCACCCCTCGCTTACTTTTCCCAAGCCGCTGAACCCTACACAAAAGAACCCTAAACCCTAAACCTCAAAACCCATACCTTCCAAAACCCCCCCCCCCCCCCCCAAAAAAAAAAAAAAAAAAAAAACCAGGCCAGGGCGATCCGGGGTCGCGACGCCCCTCGAGGTGAGGATTGTGACAACCTGGGACTCTTCCTTTCCTACAGGTTTATGGGTGACACCTACTAATTTGAAAGGGGTTTAGGGTTTAGGGTTTAGGTTTTCGGGTGCTTTACTACTAAACTGTAGGTAAATAGAGTCCCAGCAAGGTTTAGGGTCCTGTTGAGGCTTGAGGGTTTTGGGGTATTTTGGGGGTTCAGAGTTCAGTGGAGGCCCATTAAATGGATTCTCGCCCTTTGCAAGTGGAATTCATTATCGCAAAAAGCTCCCATCGAGTTTCGGGGTTCTTGTTCTCAGGATTAAGGCTTTACAGTTCAGGGTTTCTTTCATTTTCCTTTTTTGTTTCATGATTCAGGGTTCAGTGTTCGATGCAGGTTTCGGGCTTTGGGGTCCTAAGGTAATCCCTGAAGCCAACCCGTCCCCCCCTCCCGCCAGCCCTCCACTGGCAAAAGCGCAACTAGCAGAACACATCCCTGCAACTCAAAACCACCCCCCAACTGAAAGCCCCAAAAGCCAGCACTCAGAGAGGGCAGGTCTGCGGGCCTATCTGAATCCAAGTGTAGAGTAGGGTTTAGGGTTTAGGGTTTAGGGTTTAGGGTTTAGGGTTTAGGGTTTAGGGTTTAGGGTTTAGGGTTTAGGGTTTAGGGTTAGGGTTTAGGCTCCTGCCAGGCCCGTACCGCAGCCATCCCAGGCGTCAGAGCCTCAAAGTGGTTCCGGGGGTTTGGGGTTTGGGTGTTGAGGGGTTTTGGGTTGTAGGCCCCGGTAACTGTTCAAAGTCCTGTCAGCTGCAGCGACAGAACATCAAGCAAAGACGTTATTATAGTTTATTGTGCCCACGCGTAATACCGAAGAGAACAATATGATCGCGGCTCATTGTAATCTTGGTGTTTATCGTATGCTCGCGTAAGAAAGGCCACGTTATTCTTACACATATGTTTACAAACATGTTTATTAAGGCCCATTAAGGAACAAGCCGCGCACTCCGCATGAATGAACATAGCAAGGCTTTTATAGGGGGCATGAACGCGCTTACTTCGTGCACTTTGTTCATGGTGTTCACTGGTGATGAAAAAACCCTAGTTATAGTATCATTTTCATGAGGCTTTTTCCATCACCAGTAAACATTAGAAGTAAGTGTAATAATTAAGGGGGCAATAAGGGAATACTAATACAAAGCCCCCATTCAATTTCTAATACAATGGCCAAGTACTCAAGTACCTTGTCAAAAGCAGCTGCATTCCCGAATAAAAGCAGCAATGGGCGGTAGCACCGCGAACTTGCGCAAGCGAACTTGCGCAAGCGTCAAGCCCAGAGTGACCGAACACCCTAATTTAAACCCTAAACCCTAAACCTCCGAAAAAGGAAGGCCTGAACGGTAAGTCAAGCCAGGGACAGCCTAAAACCACCTCCACACTACCCCCCAAATCCCCTATTGCCTTCACCGGAGACGCCCCCCAAACCCTAAACCCTAAATCCTGAACCCTACCGCGAAGCTTTCTCCAACGCCCGGAGCCTGAGGCCCGCGGCGGTGGCACAAGGCAGTTTCTACACGGGTTCAGGGCGTCGGGTTTACAAGGGTTTAGGGTTTGAGCCTACCCCTAAATACCCTAAAGCCCAAAGCCCTAAACCCTGAACCCTGAACCCTAAACCCTAAACCCTAAACCCTCAAGACAAAATTGTATGTGGTCTCATTCTGATTTTTTCCAAGTTATTTGTCTCCAAAACACCTCTCAGGCCAAATGCTCAGTTTACTTAACCCTCTCCCCTCCTCTTCCTCTCCCCCTCCTCTCCCCCTCCTCTCCCCCTCTTCCCCCTCCTCCCCCCCTCCTCCCCCCTCCCCCCTCCTCTCCCTCCTCCCCCTCCCTCCCCTCCTCCCCCCTCCTCCCCTCTCCCCTCCTCCCCCTCCCCCTCCTCCCCCCTCCTCCCCCTCCTCTCCTCCCCCCTCCCCCCCTCCCCCCCTCCCCCCCCCTCCTCCCCTCCTCCCCCTCCTCCCCCTCCTCCCCCTCCTCCCCCTCCCCCCCTCTCCCCTCCTCCCCCTCCTCCCCCTCCTCCCCCTCCTCCCACCTCCCCCTCCTCCTCCCCCCTCCTCCCCCCCTCCTCCCCCTCCTCCCCCTAAGTGTCTGTGGCAGAGAGCATGGGAGAGCTTCCCACAGCAGAAGCACTGGAGTTTGAGCTAGGGCCCTGTGGCAAGTTGCCTCCTTTGCAGCTCCAGCACGAGCTAGAAGAGGCCATGGGCCCTGTCCTAGGCTACCTGGCATCTGAGCTGAGGAATGCAAGCTTCAATGGCATCCTGACAGGAAGGAAGCACAGTGTTGAGCAGATGGTGCTTGTGTGTTCTTTGCACCCAGACCAGCGCGAGAGCACCTTGGCTTCGTACGCAGAGCCCCGTGGAGAAGGGTGGATTGTTGCAGCTGCAGGGGCTGCTGCACTCTTGACTGCTGCTGGCCTTGGAGGAAGGGGCGACCCAATGCTCAAAAGGATGGGGACAGAAGGGAAGCTCCTGCCTACGCTTGCACGCCTCATCCGTGGTTGCACCTCACTCCATGAATGCTTGACACAAGCTTGTAGCACCGCATCTAAACACTACCAAGGGCAGCTGGTGGTGGCTGGCTCATCCACACTCAAGGCCCCTGCAGTGGAAAGGCTTCTGGCCTGCGCAGCAAGTGCGCATGAAATACAACCCTTCCCTAGTGGTGCAGCTGGCAATGCAACCAGTGCAGGCCTTGCTTCTGCCAGTGGGCTAGTTCGCTTTTTGTTCACACGAACCGAGTACAGGGTTTTCCTGAGGAGCACCCTTGTTCGGGACTTGCTCCGCTTTGCTGGCTTGTCAACAACTGTGCAGCTTAGTGGGGGTGAAGGCCTGGCTCAGGTGTGCAGCTCATTGACGCAAAGCTTGCAGCCCTTGCACCAACTCATATTGCAAAGGGCAGCACAGGTTGAGACAGTGCGAAAGCAAGACAAGCTGGTGCCAGGTACAACAGGGTCATGGGAGAAGCATAGCACCTCCCAGATGCAGAGTGAGGGTGCTGCCACAGGGCCGCCGAGCTTGGAATTCATTGATGCTCACCACCAGCAGGTTTGTGCTACCATGGATAGCCGAATTGGGCACTCGACGGCGCAAGAGTCCACCCTGCATGCACATCCAGCATGCACGGTTTCGCCAGGGGCTCTTCTTGTGTCAGTGCTCTTAGAGGCAGAGAGCCAATGTGCTGCAGCAGTGGGTACAATTGCAACGATGGACCCTAGCCGGGTTCATGCGAAGGCATTTCTGAGAAGCCTCCCACCCCCTGTTGCCAACACGCAACGTGACACGGCACGCATGTGGCTCCCTACTGTGGTGCCCTCCACGAGCAAAGACAGCAGCCTACTCTGCCTGTGTTTGCCCACAAGGATTGGATTCGTCCACGGTGTGGCAACAGGAGGCGGGTATGCTGGGGTTGAGTGTGCCACGCCGTGTGCCAGGGACCAAGACGAAGCACAGCTCCAGCTGGGAACTGCGCATACAGTAGCAACCGGCTGCGCTGGCAGACCATGGCCCAAACCAGCAAACACTGCACTTGTGGCTGCCTGCCCCCGCTGCGCCCTTAAGTGCTGTTGCATGTGCTGCCCTGGCTGGCGAGCTTCTTCGTGGTGCCTTGCAGCATGCCCAACCGAATACCCCTCTGGAGCGTGTGTATGTTGCCCATTTGCTTGAAGGCTGGGCAGCCTGGCCCTACCTGGCAAGCATACTGGAAAAGGCTGGCTTTCTCTACCAGCACACGTGGGCTGCCTGTGCACTAGACAGGTCATGGTTCTTCATCTCTGTGTGGTCAAGCCCAGCAAAACCACAAACCACAAAGAGCACAAGGGGAGCTCCTAGACAGGCCCAAGGCTCTGCACTGTCACAAGCAAGCACTGAGAAAAAGGGCCCTCAGGTCGACCAGTTGGTCGACTTGCTTATAAAGGCAGCAACAGGGCATGTAGGTGAGGTTTGGGATGAGTTGATCTGTGCACGCTGCAGGGCCTTGCTCCACACATGGCAGCAGCAGCACCTGGCAAACCCCCCTCCCCGGATGGAGCCACTCTTTGGTGAGATGGCTCTCGCTAGCTACAGCCCCCTTTTGGCAGCAGTAGCAGAGTGCTGGCAGAAAAGTGCAGCCCCCCACACAGCAGCAGAAGTGGAAGCATGTTCTCGCAAGCTGCTTGAAGCCCAGCAAGATTTCTACCGTGCAGATGGAAATGAGGAAAGGCGTGCCCAGATGGAAGAAGGGGCTTGGGGGCGTGTGCCTGCAGTTTCGCCTGTGGAAATTCTCGGCATGCACCAGGACAGAGGCCGTCTTGACTACATCATGGCACCACGTGCGCATTTTGTGCCACTAGTAAAGCCTTCTACCCAGATCTCATTACTTCCTATAGGGGGCTCAAGCCTCTGCACTCTCCAGACGTCAAATACAGGGGAGATTGCTTTGATCCAGGCTTGTATGCATGGTGGCTGGATGGCCAACTTCTTGAGAACAGCACAAGGTTGCTGGTCTGCCCCTGTCATGGCAGCCCATAAGCCACCTGTCCCTGACTCTCGCGAGCAGGACCACCAGCGGCAAGCTATCACGCACGCAAACAACGTCATGGAGCTTGAAGAGAAAGACTTCCAAAGAGCAAAATTGCAATCAGGCGTCTTGCAACAACACTGGTGTTCTTGGCTCACTCGACCTGCTCTTGCCATCTCCACAACAACGCTCAACACGGCTGAAGCCGGCATTGTCACACAAGGAGCAATGAAGGCGCGCGAGGCAACAAGGGCAGCTCAGGCTGCACAAGCAATCGGTGTTGCGCTAGCATGTGTAGCTATTGGCACAACAGGGCTGCTGCACCCTTGGCTGCGCTTGCCTGTGCTGAGTGCAAGCCGGCAGGAGAAGCTAAGCTACTCCGGGCGGCCCCTTCTCAAGAAGGCTGCAGAGCTGTTCTCACAGGCACCTTTGTTTACACACTCGTGTGAGGCAGCAACAGCTGTCCTTGTGGCAACCAAGATGAGCTGTGTG